ACCTGCCTATTAACACAAGTAGAACAGATTCACTCTTTCCAGTAAGAGTCCACACACACACACACACACACACAAAGCTCAGCCCTCAGTTAGATTAATGCTGTTATCACAGACATAAAACTGTGTGAGCTCATTCAGTTCAGTTCATCAAGGAGACCTGAAAGCAAGAACAGGCCTATCCCTGCAAGGAATGGGGAGGGGGGGGGTGTTTGTTTGTTTGTTTAGTTTTTCAAGACAGGGTTTCTCTTTGTAGCCCTGGAACTCACTCTGTAGACCAGGCCGGCGTCAAAACTCACAGAGACCTGCATCCTGGGTGCTGGGGTTAAAGGCGCTGGCGCTGCCATCCCGCCGGGCTGTGTAAGTTCTTTATAATAAATGCTAACATTGCTCCTATGAAAAACTCAGAGCCTAAAAGGTACTGCTATGACTCCACACTTGATCAATGCCATGAGACATTCATTGTTGCCTCATTCACAGAACTCTGCTCTGAATTCACTGCAGTATCTGTCTTCCCCATGCCTATAAAATCTCAGGTGAAGTTTTCACAAGGAAAGAAATTTTTAAAAAGAAAGAGGTCACTACACATATCAAGAGCAACACGAAAAGAATACCTCTTGCAAATGTGAGTCTTTCTTCTTGGCAGAGAGAGTCAAGTGTTTATCAATTAGACTGTAATTCTTTTCTGTCTCTTTGTCAAACTTCTTCTTTTCTTCCTACAAAGAAAAACCAGGCAAGGTTGATCATACATAACACACATAAATCACATGCACAGTTAAGTCTACTGGAGGCTAAAAATACGAAAAATGTTTAAAAAACAAACGCAAGGAAGCACTAAATGTGCAGAAGGCACTGCTGAGGCAAGGCCTCTGTCCCCAGCCTCCGTCCCCAGTCTCCGTCCCTGGCCTCTGCCCCCAGGCCTCTGTCCCCAGGCCTCTGTCCCCGGCCTCCGTCCCCGGTCTCTGTCCCCGGCCTCCGTCCCCGGTCTCTGTCCCCAGGCCTCCGTCCCCGGTCTCCGTCCCCGGCCTCCGTCCCCGGTCTCTGTCCCCAGGCCTCCGTCCCCGGCCTCCGTCCCCGGCCTCCGTCCCCGGTCTCCGTCCCCAGGCCTCCGTCCCGGCCTCCGTCCCCGGCCTCCGTCCCCAGGCCTCCGTCCCCGGCCTCCGGCCTCCGTCCCCGGCCTCCGTCCCCAGGCCTCTGTCCCCGGCCTCCGTCCCCAGGCCTCTGTCCCCAGGCCTCCGTCCCCGGCCTCCGTCCCCGGTCTCTGTCCCCCGGCCTCCGTCCCCGGCCTCCGTCCCCAGCCTCCGTCCCCGGCCTCCGTCCCCGGCCTCTGTCCCCGGCCTCTGTCCCCAAGCCACTGCTACGGATCAGAGTCGGCACCAGGGCCAAGAAGACACTCTCCTGCACCCTCCTCTCAGGAGTTTCAACTCTTCATCGGAGTTAAGTCATCGCACTCTTCTCTCACAAAAAAGAAAGACACGTAAGCGGTTAAGCTCAAGGAACGAGCTTTCTCGGAACTGCGCAGAGATGAAATTGGTGTTAGACTCGGTCAGTGTAGCCACACGGGTTTTTACTTGTAATAATTCTAGAACATCTCAGGGAAGAAAGTCATCAATGGTCCAATTTGAATATAAGGACACTCTACCCAGA